GGAGATGTCTGATCTAGTTTGTTTGGTATGCTATCACGAACGTGGGTGTTGTTTTCTCAGGTGTTACATGGTATTTTTTTGGGGCTCACCTGATTGGACTGGCATGAGAACTAATCATGGCTTCGTCCTTAGTAAGACCAGTGTATTGCCTCAATCCAGTCGCGGAATCCAATCACGTTTGGAATTTTTATGAAGGTTAGCTCACTTTTTAGAAATAACAGAAGGACAGCGGGTCTGTCGCCACGCAAACTAGTGCTGACATAAAGCAATGAGTGGTGGAAATTGTGTATCGGGTGATTTATATAAGTTACTCATTAAAATAAGCAGATGTCCATAAGATCAGTAAACTTTTGCTCATTGGCTGTGCGATCCGGGTGCTGTGTGATAAAGCGCAGTGGAAGATATAAGTTCGTGTGTAGGGGCATAGGAGGGTGGTGTGTTGTTATAGATGAGGATTTAAAAGGTAGACAATATGAGGACTACTGTCTGTACTTGAGTGTGCTATGGGCAAAGATGACGTTCCACGTGTAGTTTGAGTTCCCGAGGGGCATATCGCGCTAGAAAGAAGAACATGCCGGGTGCCCTGCTGTTTTTTTTTTGTTTTGGGGAGGACATAACCAGCATAAGGGAGACAGGATCCTGCTGGGACTCGTCGCTAGGGGGAGTCCGGTGCGTGTAGAGTTGCTTTCAGGTCAATGGCGTATTTAGATTTAAGATCGACTTGTCTCTTGAGCATGTTGGATGTCTTAGCTCTAATTTATGGAGGGTGTGGCTGAAGTGCATCGGCCCCATTCGTGATGTGTGCCTTGGTAGTCGGCGCACTACTGACTTATTTCATCGATATGTACTGATCTCGGGGAGGGGCATCGTGTGCCAGTGGTTGGGGTGTCTGTATTACAGTTCGCCCACGCATCTCACTATAGGATGGGAGGGCGTCATTAAGGGAGTGAGTGTGCTTGTGAGAGTTCTGTAGGGTCAGTTGAGCTCTCGTGTAGTGTTCTCTAGGCGCTGTAGAGAGAGTGATGTTATAACAGTGTGTGTCGCCGAAGGTATTTAGAATTTAGATGGGTGTGGACGCAGTTGGCTGTAGAGTTGTTCCAGATATAACTTACAAAAAAATAATACTTCCAGATTTGTAGGAACGAAACTGGTGTAAAGGGTGTAAGCAATCCTAGCCTTAGCTGTAACTGTACTCACATTAGCATCTGTGAGTGATGGGCAATTTGAAGAGAAGTATGATGGTGAGAGTTTGGGCTACAGGGGACGTTCGATGAATAATAACTAGAGTAGATGGAGTTTGTAGTATTTGCTCACATTATAGAAGATTAAAAATTGTATGAATGTCTTTTGAACAGATCAAAAACGTAATTTATCGTCAGAAAACGCAATTTCTTTGTATGTTATTATTGTTATCTACGTTCCTGTACGGAGGTGTGATATACGAATCAAGAAGTTATAGGAAGAACGCGAAAGACGGCTCACCAAAGTGGATGGAAAATCATGTTGGTAGGTCGTTGCGTTGCTTGATATTAAAGGTACTCTGTTGGGGTGATGGGTGAGTGTTGTGCAGTGCTCGTATAAGCGGTTAATGTAGCTGATTGGTGGGGGCTAATTCTAATGAGAACTTGATATATACGGAGTGGGTTTGCAGCAGCCAGTCATCCATTTCTACCGTTTGTGTAATTCCATTCTGTGAGTCAGGGGCGATGGTGTGTTTTTATGGGGTGATGTGTGTGGCAGTCTAGGTTGGAGATGGGCACTCCAGTACCATGTCGGTCATAGAGTACCATAGGTCCCCTTGCCAAAATGACTTGACGGCTTTCTCTGCTAGGTGTTGCTGTAGTCAGCGTAGTCTTGGTACTTGGAGCGGCGTGTCCTGCTTGTCTGATCTGAGGTGGGGAGTCGATGAGCTTTGTCTCGTTGCAGTTGGGCTAATGTGGGTTTGGGCAAGAAGGTTGGGTTGAGTAGATAGTGTCGTAAGTCTGCCAAGGGACCAGAGCTCGTAGTTTCGTAAGCCTTATGGTAAGCTCTTTCATGTCGCTTTGATCTGTAGTGAAGAGAAATTGCAACGGAGACGCTTTTGTTGTGACGTTAATGTGTACGTGATTGAGGGATAGATTGCATCGGGGCGGCTCCGGTGCCATTCGTGATGTGATAGTATGAGTGTTGGTGTCACAGTGAGAGGGTTGTACAGATGAAGGTTTCTGGAGACGACGTGTAAACTCTTTCAGATTAAGGAATTGAGAGGCAAAAGAAGAAGATTGTCAAGCACACTGCTTAGAAAAGCATGATTCGTAGGTATAGTGTGAAAAAATGCTACTAGAGAAGATTTGATCAGAGTAAAAGTGATGGTGTATGCAGACTCATTTCATGAGAAACGGATTCCAAATGAGGCTGGGGCCTGATATTGGACCATCTGACTGTCGAGACGCAGTTTGCTATTAGGAAGTTTATAAATAATAAAATGGTGCGCTCTCCGGGGTCTTTGAATAAAGGCTAGAAGTATGAAAAAGGTCCCCACGAATTTACAAATGGTGTAGCTCAACAACCAGAGAAATGTTCTACTGATATGAAGAAGGTACTCCGTGGATATAAGGAGTTATTACTGATGAATTTAAGTAATATGAATAATATTGGACTCCATGTTTGATAAAGAGAGTTAGGTTTATAACTGAGCCGGGTGATGAGTTGGACCTCCCCCGGTCTCCTCTTTATTTGTCGTCTAAATATAACTCTTGAGAGAGAAATAAATATGTCTGTCTGTCTTTTGCGCGGCATTTTGATTGTGTAAGGGTTCTGATGACGAAAGTATGAAGTGAGAAGTCAGACTTCTTGGTTGCTATTCTTATGACTGGTGTGTGTGATAAAAGATATAGAGAGTCTTCGTGATGTTGCAGAATTGTGACCGGTATATGAATTTTATGATTAACCATTTCGGAAAGACGCTTGTTATGGTTGCTGACTGAATGCTCGATTTCGGATGCGTGTTAATCATAATTTTGCGAATCATAGGTCACGTGCTTGACATAAAATATACCTAGGGAGGGTGACAGTCGTCGATAGGGAAGCTTGTGTCTTAAATGATAGTATAAGCGCGCAGTTTGTGTGTTCTTGAGCAAACTGCTAGATGAGAGAGCAGATTGAAGGTTGTGGTGGTTTGGTGTGTGGATGGAGATTCGGTTATGTGTAGGAGAAACATTAAAATATGCGTGGTTCGAGTGATTAAAAAGTGTGGTATATTGTTGTTTGGGCCTTTTGTCTAGCGACCTGTCTTAGTGCCGTTTAGTGTTGTGTGTTTGTGAGACAAGCCTCAGTATTAGGACTTGTATTTGTATCACTACTTGGTTGCTGCAGGCAATGAGAGGGATGGTCCGATGGGTTAGAATAAAGGGTCATTGTGGGAACGGGGGTTCTTACTGATTGTGGATGTTGTGCATGTAGCTTCGATCCGTAAGCGACGTGCTGTATTTTTGTGTTTGTGCTGGCTCGTGAGGTCCTCCTGGTTGGAGTTTTTCTTTCCTACCGACTAAGAGAGATGAAGTAGTGTCCCTTTAGTTGTCGTATGCTATGCGTCTTCTCGCATGTGGTACTGCGACCGCGTCCTCTCCTGCTGGGGAGTGTGTTTGTAGGGGGGGCGCGAGGCCCAAATTGCCACCCCCATAAAATTGAGCCGTAATTTGAAGAGCGGCTGTTTTGGCGCTTCTGTGATGCAGCTTGTGAGTAATGTGGCCGATATTGGTTTATATAGATTTAACAGAGTTGTTCGTTACTAAGCTTATCTTACTTCGCGCTACCACCTAGAAAAACTGTCTTGCTCAATCTAGGTTAAGAGATCTGCCAGCTCTGACGGGTCTTTATGACTAGAGCGAGTATGCATCAACTGATCCGTGATGATGGGTTAGTTTCCTGATGCTGGCTATGATTATCGGTATCGGACTCGTTACCACGCTCGCATGACGTAATGATGGTGGGGGGCAGTTCCTTTTAACTCTTTTATACTGATAGGGTTGTGGAGGATTCTTAGAGTTTACTGTTAATTGTACTTTCCTTAGTTTGTGGAGGAGATAATTTACCTCAGGCATGTTTTTGACATTAAAGTGTTGCTGTATTTATGGGGACTCTGCGCTATATGGACTGTAGTCGTTGTATGTAGAAGATAAAAATTTGTAGGAACTGTGTTGTGAATAGATTAAAGAGTGAGACGAGCGGTTCATATCAATTCAGATTGTTCTTTAGATTTGAGAGAATGTTCTGGTCATCAGACTGGACTATCGACTATAAAGCAATTATTATCATTCATCAGATACTGCCCTGGAACACCTGTCATTCACCAACATACTCCTCACCAGGTTATTAGAAATCCCATCGCTACAGCTTGAATGTATCAGTATGGTATAGTGCATCATGTAAATCCTTTCTGGGTGTAGGCCAAATGGCTGAGAATTTAATAGCGAATGTCGACTCTTGTCATCCTGTATGGATCGACTAGCCGCTGAGTGTAGACGCCTTGCGGTGGGCACTACGTTTCAGCAATAGACTTTTTCAATAAAGATTTGTTAAGGATGCAGCTAGGTATGAGATTCGCTGAATCTGACGCTGCCTAACCCTATTTTTCTAGTGCATGACATCTTGTGGACATGCGAAGAGAGACGGTCTAGTGCTTCCAAATAGTAGTCAGTAATGATGGCCCCTGAGGTGTACTGCGAAGTCAATGCTGCGCCCTACCCATTATTACGCACACTATAGGGCCTCTATATTTATTCCATCTTTCCACTATTGATCACCTGCGCGAAATTTGATAGCTTTATCTAGGTTATTACGCCCCTCCCCCCCCCCCCCCCCCCCCCCCCCCCCCCCCCCCACCCCCCCACCCCCCCCCCCCCCCCCCCCCCCCCCCCCCCCCCCCCACCCCCACTCCCCCCCCTCCCCCTCCTACCCGATCTCAGTGTTGGTCGTTTGGCTTTTTGTTTTCGGAGGCGGGTCTGGTAGGTGGGGGGTGGCTAGGTCTGCGTCTGGGGCTTGCGTCTAGAGTCGTAGTGCTGTTCGCTTGGGTAATGCAGGTGGAGCTGAGTGTCCCGTGGGCTCACGCAGTGTGCGCCCCAGCGAAGAGGCCAGGCCATGTGACTCCAGGCAGACTCCATGTCACTGCAGGTGGCCAGGCCATGTGCCTCAGCTAATAGTCCAGCAGGAGGACACGCGGGACCGCCGGGGGACGACTCAGAGGGCTGAGCTCGGCCAGTCATTATGGGACTAAACATGTGTAGGCCATGCAGGAGACTCAAGCCGAGTGTTTTTTTTTTACAGTTCTAAAGTTGAGTATTTTCTTTTACAAAAAAATAATCAATCTGATCCTTTATATAAACATAATCCATCCCCCCACCACCCCACACACACCCATTCAAACCATTCCCCACCATCCAAAACCAATCCACCCCCCACACAAACCCCCCCCCCCCCCCCCCCCCCACCCCCCCCCCCCCCCCCCCCCCCCACCCAAACCCCCCCCCCCCCCACCCCCCCCACCCCCCCCAACCACCCAACCCCCCAAAACACCACCCCACCCCCCCCCACCCCCACCCCCCCACCTACCACACCCCCCCCCCCCCCCCCCCAACCAACCACCACACCCCTCACCCAAAAACTATCAAAACCCACTCAAAACCTCTACCAGTCTCCCCCCCCCCCCCCCCATCACCATATACCCTTAGCAAGTGGTCCCTAGATATCCGCCTGGTGTTTTACCCAAATGTTCTCCATTTATGAAAGTGGCTTGTGGCGGAGGGCCCAACACTCAACCTGATATAACGAAGGATTGATATCCGTCCCATTGTACCCCCCCCCTACTCATTCCGTATCGCCCCCCCCCCCCCCCCCCCGGACCCCCCCCCCCCCGCACCCCCCCCCCCAACGGATATGTGTTCTACAGGGAACATAAAATGGTGTCAGTATCTACTTGCGTAGAGATACCCAATTTCGGTCTGATCCAGCGAAGAGGATCGCGCCTCTCGATAATTTTGGAAAGTCTTATTCTCTCCATTTGGACTATTTGGGACACATTCTTTTAGGTCCGGTGCTAGTGGTGTCCAGTGTGATAGTCAGATTACGAGATGAGCAGGCGTGCGCACTTAATACTGGTGTTGACGCCCCCCTGGACCCCCCTTCAATCTCAGGGCATGTATTGCATGTATAGCTCTAAGTTAACTAGGAATGGTCTCATGACTGGAAAGAGCTGGATGATTTGAGTTATCAAGAAAAATAGTATCTAAATCGCGGGCTGCTTCGGTCGGCGCCTGTTCCGTCAGCTTACACGTCTCGTTTGATTTGCCCAGAATAACTGTGCTTGTTCCGCTGTTGTGCGCTAAAGTTCTTTCTATGTTTTGAAAAGGGACAACATGGGATGACGTACATGCAGGCGACTTGATTAACGCTTTGTGGAGGTGTTGGAGCTAAAATTACAGTCGGTTAGCGAGAAATCTTCGCCGCTCCTATTGTTAGAGTGGCCCCTGTTTTAACTCTGATCCTCATTGTGTCTCAGAGCCTCTGCGTCGCAAGTCATACTTTGAGAGTCCTGCCCCTTAGAACATGGAATTGGACAGACGCTAAAAGGTGCGTGGAAGTTGCAATGTCTGGCACACTATCTTCTCGTTTTTGTTTTGTTATTTGGTTTCTCTCAAGCATGATCTGTAACTTATAGGCAAACCTTTCATGATCTTTCCTCAAGGTGGTCGTAATATCTGGATTTGTCTCGTTTGCCGCGAACTCGCGCGAGATATATGAAGCGTATGGTAATAATGACGCTAGGTTTAGCCTTGAACTTTGCAGGGGGGTTGGGGGGAAAAATGTTGTCTGAGTCATAGACAGTTACCTGTATGTGTGTTTGCCTAAGATTGTCTGTTAGCTTGAGTTAGTCCACAGGTCCTAAATATCGATGTCCTAATGTGTTACGTTCGAATGGAGCAGTGGTAGATATATATTGTATGTATGCATCAGAAAAAGTACTGATTAGATGACGAAGGTGGGGTTTCTATGTGGTTCAGTGTCACTTAGATCAATCCAGCGTTTATGGTCATAAAGTGTATAAATACAGTTGTGCATATCTCAGTAGCTTTGCACCTGAGTAACCCCGTTCATGAAAGAACTTTTGATCCTCGGGGGAGGGCAAATGCAATTGCCAGTGAGCAACAGCATTAGTTTGCCGATTCCATGGCACAGGATCTGTAAAGTAAATATATTCTGGATATGCTATGCTCACAAATGCTCCTCATTGAGAAAACTCTATCATTGTGGGAGTTACTGACCTCTGGGGTTAGCGCTGGTGTAGCCGTGGCTCCACACTGCGATGGCCTGTTGAAATGCCCGATCAACGCGGAGTGTTAGCAGTGCTACCGTAGCTCACAGTCAACCGCGTAACACTATTACTTTGTACTTACTTGGCCATGGGCTCGCTAGCTGCTTGTATCGCCGCGCAAATCATGTTAGATAGATCGATGAAGCTCCAATGAGAAAAACAAGGATCAATATTAGTTACAGTCTGATATCTACCTGAGAGTTTGGATGTGTGTGAGACAGTAATGTGTGATGGTGCTTACGGACGTGATTTTTGTAGCTCTCCTTTTGTGATTGAGGTGATGTTAGACGGGACAATGATAGTGTTGATTGTTGCGTGTTTTTGTTCATTGAAGTAGTTTGCCTTCATTCTAGTTTTACTGAATGGACTCCATTTTATCATGTATGTATGACTGCCTTCTCGTGCTTTGCACAGTAGGTATTACTAGTGACGACTGCTAACTATATATAGGCTATATAATGTACTCAAACCAGAAAGCAACAAATTATTTTGCATTAGTTTTCTCTACCGCATTTACAGGTTTTTAGATGCTATGTTCTACACTACATCGGGCCATTTTGGGTATTTTTATGTCAGATGTTAACCAGAGTATGATAGGAATGACTGAGGTACGGGATGATGGAAGTGTCTAGAGGTCCCGCTCTGCATGGCTTTATCAGGCTTACACTAAGTCCCGGGTCGAAATACATATGACTGACGCAGCAGTTGAAGTAGTGCACAACTCACGCTTGTCTCAAATGCAGAGACGGTTTTCGTATTCTTTAGACGAGTTAAAGAGCACTTTGTTGCTAGAAGCTGCCAATACTGTAGTCACAAAGGGCCCACTCCGCAAGGAGCGCTATCTGTCGCTGTAGTTGGTGAGCTTGCAGAACCACTGGTAGTGAGAGGATTGTATAGGAACAGGGTAGAACCAGCAATTTGTTAGCATCGCCGTCTTTTAATTTTTTTTGGGCCAAGTATAATATTTCGGTGTTAATTATTAATTATGCTCAAATTGCGACGATTGATTTAATTGTAGTTAGATTTAATTGTACTACTTAGAAATTTATTTCATAGATATTGTTTAATTATTAGAAGTTGCAAAAAGATCCGGAATTGCACTATAAAGTCAGATATGGTGTGAGGAGTTTGCAGCTGAATGGGGTACGTCTGATGGTCCAAAACAGGCAAAGAGAAAGGGCTTTAGTGTGGCGAGGAGTTTGTCAAGATCATATAAAGTATTCTGAGTTAGAAGAGTTAGTAGACTGAGCGAAGTTCTTGAAACTAAGATACGTAATTGAGGGGATATGAGTATAGACAGTCCGTACCGAAAGTGAGTGTACTGAGTTGTTTATAGTAGTTATGAATGGGGTTATCATATGGACATGAGTTGTAGCCAGGCAATTAGATGGCTTCAGATTGCGTGAGTAAACGGCCAGCGGCTCAGTTTCCTGCACCCAGGTCTCATTGGCATGTGCGGAATGTATTCCCCCACCGTGGATAAAAAAACGGAAATATTTTTAATTAAAGCGCGCTTCACACAGATTCGGACGATTTTAAAACTTATTTGGTGTCCGATTTCCAAACTGAGCGACCCCACACACGGGATAAAAAATCAAGGTCTACCATCACCTTTGGTCGTACTCAGTGTTGCACCAGCCACTAACGGCGCAAGATCACACAAAACGGTGGTTTGCACTGCGGTATGGCTGTAGTGGATACGCAACTTCTGCCTGTCTCAGCAAGAAGGTCCCTGGGTTCTAATCCCAGCTCGATCCAGGCCTTTTCTGATGTCAGTGGAGCTTGCACTGTGTTACCTCTGTGTTCTGCTGTAGGTTTCTCTCCGGGTACTTTCGTTCTCCTCCTCACCCACTACACAAATATGTACATATAGTTCTGGCGAAAGCGGCAGTCCTTGTACTGGCCCTGCTGCCCATCTCTGTGTGGTGGACCGTGAGAGACTTACTGCCACAAAGATTAAAATTGTAAACCGGCTTGAGACCCTCCAGATCTGCATGTGATAATAGGACTTAGCACTTATTATAAATTAAAAACGGTATCTTACTTACGTTTATCAACCGCACACAACGATTCTCCCCGCGCTGTATACCCAGGTAGACGTAAATCTCACTCATAAACTCTCTGGTAGATCAGATGATTCAGAGTAAACAATCCCCCCTTCCCATGGGCGGACGAACCGAAGTTGGCTTAGTCGTGCGTAAAATGATAGTGTGTGTAGTTGTAGTTTTATAACAGAAAAAAAGTGTGTAATCATAAGGATTTGTTAAAGGGCGATCGGTCAAAGAAAAGGACGCACAAACCGTATGCATTTAGCCTAGGCTAAATTAGCTGTACTAATTATATTTATGTCACTGACCTGTTATGATTGACTGTTTTCATCAATACCAACGGTGATCGTGACTTCTGTATCCGGGTGAGCAGTGTTCCTGACTGCTAGTCACTCTGCTCTCTGTTAGCCTAACAATACCCAACCTTTACCAAAACCACGTATTTGGGTACACCAAAGCTTAACTGTTGTAAGCACTCCGAAGTCTAGCTGTCACTGCAGCTGAAGTTCTTAGAGTGTAGGTAGCGGTTGTTTGGTCTGGTCTCGAGTCGGTCATGTGTGGGCGCCCCGGATCCGTACGTAAGCTGTAAGCCAAGTCCTTAGGCTTGATAGCTAAGCCTAGCTAGCTAAACCGCTACTCGCAGATACCAATTATGGCGTGGCTGCTGTCTCATCCCTCAAGTCCTTTACTGCTCCGATGTTGCCCTATAGGCCCTCGAGTCATAACCACTGGATCCTTCTCTGGGGTAGTGATACGTGTGGAACGTGCTTAGTGAAGTCGTAGCTATGGAATCCAGGTGTGAGTGAGTCTTTAGCAGCTGCGTGTCTCCGTCAGCCTGGGAGTTCTCGAGGCTTAGCCGCTAGCATTTTAGCTACAGCCAGGCCGACATCCCTCATGACTAGCGTTGCGCGCAGCGACTTTTGGGAAGAGCACGAGGAGAAACTAGCGTAGTCCTAGTACCCGCACCAAGCCCTGGTCCTTCCGCCCAGTCCTGGACAAGACCGATTGTGATTGGGCTTTGTGACTGGTTCGGTGAGCAGGGCCTAAAGGGCTGCGTGTTGTTGGTAGTTTTCCCTATTGGGCCTGCCTCTGTTAGATTTACAAGCGCTCTGGGACTGCTCCTGGTCGGGAAGAAGCCCCACTTCTGAGAGAGCCAGGCTTGAGTAGAGCCCGACAGATCGAGCGAGCGTTGCTGACGAGAGCCGCTGAGAGGAGCGTCTGAGAGAGCCGATGGGTCGCTTTGAGAGAGCCGCTAGTAGTAGAGTAGCGCCAGAGAGAGCGCTGAGAGACGTCGTGCTCGGTGAAAGAAAGAGCTGTCACTTGCAGAGGAGCTGCTGAGATGAGCTGCTGAGAGAGACGCTGAGGCGCGTCTTGCTGATTGCGAGCGATCTCGAAGTGCAGAGCTCGCTGAGAGTGCTGCTGAACGAGGTGCTTGAGCGAGGAGCTGCCTGAAGAGAGCCGCTTGGAGAGCTCGCTGAAAGACGAGCTGCAGAGTGAGCTGCTAGAGAGAGCATGGTAGAGCGAGCTGCTGACGAGAGCATGCTGAGCGAGCTAGCTTGAGCCGCTGAGGAGACGCAGACTAGGAGAATCCCAGAGGCTGCTGAAAGGAGAGACCGCTTGAGAGAGCTGCTGATAGAGATGCTTGCTGACCTAGAGCCGTCCTCTAGAGAGAGCCGCTGATGAGAGGCTGCTGACGGAGAGCCGCTGACAATGAGGAGCTGTGAGAGAGCTGTCCGTGAAGAGAGGCTGTTTGAGAGATGCTGCTGAAGAGAGCCTGCTGAGTGAGCTGCTGAGAGATGCCGCTGAGAGAGCTAGCTGAGAGACGTTGCTGAGAAGCTGACTGGAGGAGAGCTGGATGAGAGAGCTGCTGAGAGAGCTGCTTGAGAGAGCTCGCCTGAGTAGCGAGTGCCGATGGTAGGTCTGCTGAATGCGTGTAATTGGTCCTCTATTGTTAGAGGTGTTTGACAGGGATCCCCAGGCATGCTTCGGTGCTTCCCGTGGGCCAAGTCAATGGTGCTTGTATTTGGCCGGACGGGTCTGATGGCTCATGATACGCCATCATAAGCAGCGTGTGTCGTCGACAAATTGTTATTCACGCGCGGTTGTAAAATGACGATCTTCGGCGGAGGGGGTAAAAGTCCGACGCGTGTTGGAAAGCTGCAAGTCGCCGCTGTGTGAAAGCTGGGTAGCTCTAGGGCCGACACTGTTCATCTTCTCTGGGGACCCTACTAGCACTAGAGTGCAGATGCATTCAGCAGACACGCGGGCTTTCAAATCCGCTGGCTGTCTGGCTGGTGCCCTCAAGGTGCGCGTGGTTGGTTCATCGTTGACAATTGGAGTGCCTTTTGGGGAAAGCCCGGCGCTCATCCCCGCCCGGATTGATATTCCCACCCAACGTTTGGCGGGTACATCCCTTTTGGCTCAAGAAATTTTGGCCCTGGGCTCTAACTGTTTCCCTGCTCGGCTCAATGACGTGGTGCAGAACTGAGGCCGGTGTGCAGAGCTGCTCGTGCCAAAACTCTCTGAGCCCCCATCCGTTTCAAGTTACTAGCTCAGAAGCTAGTCCGGCAGCATGAGGAAGGACGCGGTCACTGCACTTTTTAAATTCGCAACTAAAGCAGCTCTGAGTTTCCCATTGTCTCCTTGCACCAGCATCTTCACCTACAGACACACAAGCACACAAGCACGCACACACACACACACAAATACACAAGGCATAAACACAGCAGCAGAAGGCTATAGAGAGAATAGGCGATTTCCCACCGATGTGTCAACCTGGGGCAATAGTGGGAAAGATTGGCGTGTTGTTTGGACACCTGTTGGCTTGTCACCACAGAGAACATGTAAAAGTCACAGTGCAGAGACCCAAGACCAGAGAGAGATTAGAGAGAAACCAGAGAGAGACTAGAGAAAGACTAGAGAAAGATCAGACTCAGAGACCATAGAGTAAGGCCAGAGTGAGGCCAGAGAGAGACCAGAGAGAGACATACCAAAGAGAGTGACACCAGAGAGAGAGACCAGAGACTAGAGAGAGACCAGAGCGACTCCAAGAGAGAGACCAGAGAGAGCTATAACTGTTTTATGGCAGTCTAAATTACAGATATATTTGGTCTGAGTATTTGACTTGCTTCATTTGGATACTCCAGCCAGTGTCACTGAGTGTGTCAGGAAGAGGTAGAATAACCTTTGTTTTTGCTCAACGGGAATGCGATCATAGAGATAAATGATGCAAGCGTGTAGTGACCAACCGGTTTGTGGAGCCTCCCAGCGACATACAGGGTGTTCCAGTGCAGTAGGTCCTGGATCAGTGAGTCAGTGCTGATGACCCCGTACTTTATCACCTATGAGAGAATCATAGAGAGAACAAAGAGACAGAGGCCAGAGAGAGACCAGAGAGAGACCAGAGTGAGAGAGGCCAGAGAGTCAGTGCTGATGAATCTATACTTTATCAGTGACAATGTGTGACAATTCAATAGTATTGCGATATTGGGGCCACAATAATTCAACAGGTAAATTTAAGACTGCTCATCTTCTCTTCAAGTGAGAGATTTTATACTTGTTCTTCGATGCTAGAGTTTGAGATTGTGCTTTGTGCTCCTCATTCCTACTGTTCTGTAACTTGTGATGCAACACTGAAACAATCCCACTGTGGGATGAATAAAGGATCTCTTAATCTTAACATTTATTTTGGTCTGCACATTTAATGAAGTGCAAAATCTTCATCCTTGAACATTCAGGACCTTATTACAGAATAAGAAATGTTTCTGAAAAAGATCACTATAATACTGTACTGTGCTGTACTGTGTCGTTTAAATTGTGTGCGCATAATACTGCAATACTGAACAGAATAATTTGTTATCCCACCACTACAGGTCAGTGAGGAGGTGGTTCTTAAACCAGAGAAACGAGTCGGTCGCTCACCTTGCCATCCACAGGGACCAGTGTGTTGTAGTAGACAGAGGCTCCGTGCTCGTCTTGGATGGTGCTAATCTTTGTGGGTCCCAGCAACTTCAGGATGGAGTAGTGTTTCCGGTTTTGGAGCAGGTTCAATGTGTGCCACGTCACCGGGTCGTCCACAGCAAACACAAAGTCCAACATGTTTTTCTGATGAGAAAGAAAGAAGTAATTGCGTTGAGGTTTATTCATTTTCAAACTAGCACATAATGTAGAGCAGTGTGTTTCAACCTATTTTGAGCCAAGGCACACTTATTTCATTGAAAATATCTTGTCATAGTCTGTAGTCCAGTGTTTTTCAACCACTGTGCCACGGCACACGATTATGCCGTATGATATTGTCCGGTGTGCCGTGAAAAATACTTTACAAATGTGTGTTCGCTGAGCTGTTGTCAAAGCGGCTGTCAGTACAAAGCGGCCACAGCTGCCCCGGGGACAGAGGGGAGGATGTGAATCCTGTTCAGAAATGGCATTATTCCTTTTCAAACACGTCGCAGTCACTTTCACTCCTCACTCGCAACAGTGCTCCTCGCTGCCTCTTACATTTGTTGGTCACGTCCAAATCTTACATTTCTCACCACAATGCTCCCAGCTACTTGTCAGGTGGTCGCATCCAATTCTTATGTATCAAAGTAATTAGCTTCTCGGCTGCCACCTACTGATATGAAAAAGTATTACGTGGTTACGCCACAGTTCAAAACAAGTCAGCAGTCGCCAATGGTGGATGCAGTTATTTTTAGACAAAGTAAGGGAATTTCTCATGGCACACCGGACAAATTAATACGGCACAGTGGTTGAAAAACACTGATGCAGAGCAGAGGTACCACACATGCAGCGGTTAAGGTGTTCTGAGGCCCCCTAGTGGACATCAGAGTGTAATGTCTGTGTGACATGTCATCCATCAGGGGTCAAGAACCTATGGGTCGGGAGCCAGATTTGGCTCTTTTAATTACTGTATCTGGCTCTCAGACAAATCTTAGTCAGCATTAATACTAAGAATATTTTATATATTGGATTTTTTCATTATAAACATGTATTACACAAAAAAATACAATCAGAGACTAATATTGCACTCTAAATGTGTTGATTTTGTTTACAAAAATAATACATATTCACGGTAAAAAAAAAAAAAAAAAAAAAATGGCACCCACAGAAATACATTTTGAAGTATGATACTTCTTTGGCTCTCTTGGCTAAAAAAGGTTCCCAACCTCTGTTACACATAATTTATCAAGAGAGACCAGAGAAACAACAGCAAGAGAGACCAATCAGATAGAGAGGGGAGCGGTAGACCAGAGGGAGACCAGTCCAAAAGACCAGAGTGGAAGACCAGACAGGGACCAGCCAGAGAGAGACCAGAGAGACAGAGACCAGAAAGAGATGGCGGGTTAATATTATATGTTATAATCTAAAGCTAATTTTATCAAGAAAACAACAACAGCATTTTTATGACCATATAAAATGAACCCTAGAATGAATAAGTAAGTTCAAAACAGCTGAACTCATTTTATTATTTGAAATATATTGAAAAAATATATAACTATACTTTCATTATCAATCACTGTATTGATACAAGACACAAGCTATGATTATACATTACCTAAACAAGTAGCTAATATCAACAAGGCACAATTATAATTCCATGTAATCTGTTATATAGACAGGATTGTAACACAATTCTTATCAGATATATTCTAACATAAATCAGGATTCTGTTTTGGTGTCTTATCTATCACTCCATTAACAAACCAGAGACTGTGGCTGAGAGCCTGAGACAGAAACCAGAGCAGGACCACACTCACGTCCATTTGCCCCTGGCTGGTCCCGTGCTGTCTGAACACTCCGGATCCATAGGCGAAGGCCAGACTGATGTCCTGAGGGAACTGGGCCAGGACCCGTCTGTAGAGGACCCCGGTGTTCTGAAGGACTGGAAGTGTCATCTCACATTAGCGCAGCTGTCAAAGCAGAGAAACTACCTCCTAGAAACCCTCCTTATGTTTAATAATGAACGACAAAATGTGTTAGGACACGGCTAACAGCAGACGGGCCCGACTGACACTGCTGCTCATTGTCATCTACATGTTTGTGTCTTTAGAATCGAGTTTTCGGTCAAACTCAGGTCAGACCATACATCCATGGGTCAGACGTGCGCTTCAGCGTCGCAGGCATTGTACGTCACGAGAGCGACCTAAAGGAGAAGCTCATGGGAAATGGAGTTTGTTAGATTGAAGCCAACAGATGATCAATAGTTGTTCATCACCACCAAGGAACAACTAAAAAAAACAGTAGGATGAAAGTGAGGCCTGTATTGACGGATCCACTCCCGGGACTGAGGCTGTAAAACGAGGACCAAGCGGTGAACTGTTCTACACAAATAAACTTGCCATGCCTGCACTATAGATCTACTGATGAATGTTACAGTCACTATATCTATATTAATGTCTAAAATAACGGCGTATTACACTAACCCGTCTTCTCTTGCACTGGTCATACAGAGGGACAAATGGTGGTTTGAATAAATCTATTTGAAACACGGGGACCTTTTTTTCATCGATTTGGCATGACGTCATATAAAAAAAAAAGAAATTCCCGTTTGTCCGCTTGGAGGCGACAAATCTTAACAAACGACTACAGTTGTCTCGTTATAGCTTCCTGAGAGTGGAGCGAACACAGACTTATAGGTATATAGCAGTACATAGACGTATACATTCAAACATAGACTTATAAAGTATATAGACTTATACAGCAGTACATACAGTAGTACATAGACTTATGCAGTAGTAGATAGACTTATGGTACATAGACTTATACTGTAGAACATAGTAGTAGTACAGACCCGGCCTAGATCAGGTGTTAATGCCCATTAAAGGCATACAACTTAATTTGTGCTACCATGGCATTTTCTACATTTTCTACATTTATTCTGTTCTCTTAATGGAACCCAACAGTTTATTAGTAATAATATGAAGTAGCGTTTAGCTAAATTAAATAAAAAGATAATCATGTGAAAACGCAGCCGGCCTTCCACAATCAGAAAAGAAAAGATCAGAGAAAAAGGTGGTCAGCAGGCGAGTACATCAGGCTCTCGTCTTTTCACAGAGAAACAGTGTGTGACCTTCCGGACTGTATCACTGACATCACAGTAGCAGAGTAATGTGCCTCTGTGAAAGTAATACTTATAAAGTAATTACCGGACTATACGCCAAGCTCATTGAACCTTGTGGCTTTTATTGCAATGCGGCTAATGTGTGTATATGTATTGTGGTAGAGTTGGGCAGAGTTTATAGACCTACTATTTTGACTCCATATTTTAGTACCTACAGGACACTAGTTTAGGGGCGACAGTAGCTCAGTTGGTAGAGCATTGGCCTTAAGCCCAGAAGGTCGTGGGTTCAATTCCCACCTCTGCACCTTCTCCACCGACTCCCACTGATGACTGCTGTCGTTGTGTCCTTGGGCAAGACACTTAACCCCACTTTGCCCAAAAGCCCCCACTGAAAGATCAAGGCTATGCTCACACTCAGAGAGCAGCTGTCCTCCTGTGGACTCACCACCTGCAGAGGGTCAGTGAGGGGCTGGTGCTATGAGACTTGGGTGGCATCTCTGACTGTCACCCCCCTGACCCAGAAATGGATTAAAGGGTAGAAAATGGATGGATGGAGGACACTAGTTTATTATATATAATACAGTGTTGGGCAAGTTACTTCAAAAACGTTGTACATTATGCATTACTTGTTACTGTTATTTCAAAGTAATGTATTAAACTACAATATTACTATCTCTGAATTGTAACGCATTACACTACTTTTGCATTCATTTTAACTTACTTTTGGTTTGGCACATCAAGTGCACTTAACTTAATTATGTTACACATCTTTGTCTCAAACTCAATCCTGTCCTGGCTCAGTTCTGGCTTAGAACTGGTTCATAGTAGTTTACACTTCATTGTTAAAGTTGATGGAAGCTGTTTTAAAACATCACCACTCTTTGCGCATATATTTTCCATGCACTCTTTGACAAGTGTCTTCCGAAGCCCCGGTGATCCAAGATGGCACCGTATTCAAATGAATGGTTTGTGCTCAGTGGTGCATGTGCAGGCACGGTCGCTGACATATTAGCGGAACTCCCCATATCACTCGCTATATTTGGGCATCGTCTGGTCCTCCCGGTTCTGTGCAGTGGATGATCTCCCATGATGAGTTGCGGCAAATACGCGTGTGAGGCTCTCATGCACGTTCACACCGGGGCTCGGCCGCGCTCTGACCAATCAGAACTGCTCATCAGAGCGGAGCTAGAGCAGGAGTTAGAGCGAGAGCCAGACGAGCAGAGTTTGTGGCACTAAAGTGTGGATTTAAAGAAAACCGAAGGATTTAAGAAGAAAAAAAGTTTAGGATGGCAAGGGACACTAAAATCCCCACAAAATCCACCCTTTATGAAAGCTGTAGGTTCTCTGTCAGCTGAGGTCGAGCAGTTTTAGTTTACATTGAGTTCTCTGAGGAAAATGTCTGGGTAGCCCACGTGAATTTAGTCTGCAGTACCACGAGAATCCCCTGAGCACGTGGGCCCTTCAGCTCCAAGCTAGTAATACCCTATCCAGTTATTTAAAATAGATCCATGATATTTGGGCATCGTCTGGTCCTCCCTGTTCTGCTCAGTGGACGGGCTCCCATGATGCGCTGCGCCAAATAAGTGTGTGTGGCTCTCATGCACGTGCACAGAGGGGCTCGGCTGCGCTTTGACCAATCTGAGCTGCTGATCAGAGCAGCGGTAGAGAGGAGCCATAGCGGGAAGGAAACGAGCAGAGTTTGTGGCAGTAAAGTGTGGATTTAAAGAAGGTACAGCTGTTTTAGTTTACATTGAGTTCTATGGGATTTTTTTCTGGGTAGCCGCGTCAGAGCCCTGCACGGGCCTATTATCTGGACCTGAGCCCGGCCCTGGCCCGAGGGGGTGGCGCCCCAGCCCGACCCAGCCCGACATGATTTTTGAATTCTCAGGCCCAAAACCTGTATCAAGGCCGACTCCCCCCCCCCCCCCTTCTCTCTGGAGCCAGTACAGGGGCCAAAACATAACAGAAATCTTGTGTTGTGTGCTCCTAATTTCATGGTTCTGTGTCATGTGATGCTGACATTTCCTGTGGGACGAGTACAGGCTCTCTTCATCTTCATCAACTGAAAGTGAAAGTATTTTAAGCTTTAAATGTTGTATTTTCATACACAAAAATTAACATAACAATATAGATTAGCCCTCACTAATTAACAGATAATTAGTGTACCCTAGAACTGTTAGAACGAAGTCCGAGCTAAAATAGAACTGTTCCAGTTAAACAGGAGGACGCACACACCTGCTGATGTCCTGTTGCGTGATGCAGGCTCAGGTTTTCTGGCACCGCTTTAGGTCAGAACTGGTTTTATCTCCATGGCGACTGACACAACACCATACGCTATATCAACGCAATTTCTCTAGGGCAGGATTTCTTATGAATTGCATCATCAAAGAAGATCTGCCACGTCAAAGTATTTTTTATTATCATCTTGTGATGCTGAGTCAATATTTACATAGATGTTGTGAAACGTTTTTGAGTTTTTTTATCTTGTAAAAAAAATCACAGAATCAAAACAGTAAAAAGTATACAGTGCAGTATTTTGGCCGCAGCAAAAAAAAAAAAAAAGAGGATAACAGGACTTACTGAGCACTCCACAAATAGACTTCAGCTCACTGTGCAACAGTCCTCTGCTCACTCTACCACCAGACTCCAATTAACCCAGGAGAGAGAAAACCCTCTCTTTTAAAAATCTTAGCCCCGCGACTGGGCTAAAACATTCCAAATTGACAGGGACTAGGGAGACACAGGTAAATTGGGTACAGTTAACTTATTTCACAGACCTTATATGTGCCTCCCATTCCCATATATTCCCATACAAGGTGAAATACATTTCTGCAAACCACAACTACTAGTAGTTAGTACAACTACTATCAAAGTAGAAGCCAGCATTTCTGAAGGTAAAACACTTGTTCCTTTTATAAGGATAAAAAGTTGGAGAATAATAATCAACATTTGTCAATAACCCTGTGGACTGCCCTGCCCGACCCACCTGGGAGTTGCTTCAGTCCTGTACCGGACCTGTCCGCGTTCTGCGGCCGCTGAGTGGCCTTGGTCCTCGTTCTGTAGCTTAGGTCCTGGATCTACAGCCTGTCGGTCCGTGTGGAGCGGATCACTCTCTCAATGGGCCTCATTTATGAAACTTGCGTATACGGACAAATCAGAGAGTAAATGAGGCGTACGCAAAAAATTTACACTATTTGGCATTTATCAATTTGGACATGGGCGTACGGTACGCACAGAATATACAGTACGCCAAGTCAGTAGGTGGTGTAAATGTGTACGCTCATTTCAACCTTCATTACAACACGTCAAAACATGCATGAAATGCAAGATTTGGACAACTATGAACATATTCCCAGTCTGGCAAAATTACTGTATAAGCTGCGTTTTCATTGAGCATCACATTTCGAAATTTGAATTTGAGCATCAGAAAAACTCTAACAATGCAATCAGACCTCAAACGCTGAAGCCCCACTCACCAGACGCGCATTGTCTAGTTTTCAGACGCAGAGGACTTCACACCAGAACGTCCTGACGCGAGCCGGAAGTACCGGAAGTAGCCAGCCGGCTCTGATGCTAACAGAGCTACAGTATGCTAGCGGCTTCTTGTGTACAGATCTTCTCCAATATGCAGCTTTGCAGCGTGTCTTTGAACAGAGACTTTCCACAGGCTTTATATATCAGTAGTTCGTGTTCAAGGAGGTGCACCATACGTTTTTTAATATTATTCAACGGTATTTCCGCATCGGCGAACACACTCAAAGCAGTTGCATAAGGTCACGGGAGCATGACAACGCATGTATCTCAATCTGGTAAGATTGCATTAGAATTATATTT